GGGAGAATACATCATCCACTTCTTCGTCTGAAGCTTGTGTCCGCAGCATGGCAAGAAACCTAGAGGACGCTGTGTCTCGTTCCCTACTCAGGGAACCTTGGTTACATAAGTAACCTGAGACGTTCCCTTTCATGGGAACTTCGAATTGCGTCCTCTAGGGGTCGCTATGGGGAACGGTATACCCATGCCACCATGCTGAGGGGAGTGCATGCCAGAACCATGGCGAGCACTAAGTACCAACTCTACCATAGCCATGGGAGTCGCCCCTGGGATGTAAAGATGGCTGTCAGTGACATTATCCCCTACGGCCAAAGGCCTAGGCTACATACCTGTTAGGGCTAGAACTCTTGGGCCCGGGGTAGAGCTCAAGGCTTGGAATCAGGAATAGATTCCTTTAAGGGAATACGACCAAGAGCCTAGAATCATACTAAGTCTTGGCCTGTCACACAGGGGCTACCGCACGTTTCTCTTTGTATGTGCTGAAGGAACTGTCTCAACAGACCCCTAGTAGCAACACCCTGTTAAAGTAGGTATCCAGAGGATACATAGGTGGAGTGGTGCCCAAGGCGGAACCGGGGTTTTAAACCACTCAGAAAGAGCACGAGGCTGCTGCGCGTAGCTCTTACCATACAGGATTCTAGAAAAGAAGGCAGAGTACTTGCGTGCGCACTTACCACAGTGTGGATTTTAGAAAGTGTACAAAGACTTCACGTGCACACTTACCATAACATGGATTTTTTTTAAATACCGTTCTAAGGGTCCCTCGTGGCACTCTGAAAGAGCAGCCCATAGCTGGAAATGGTGCATCCCAAAACGCTATGTTTGAGAAGTCATCAACTCGATCTAAGGTATAATGCTGGAGTGACTAGCAGTAAATCTGTAGCTGAGGGAGCAAACATCCAGCTCTCAATCAAGAGGGAGCTCGACCTAAAGCATGTTCCAATGCTGGAACAGCTAGCAGTAGTTTACCTTAGCTGAGGGAGCACAGACACAGCTCTCAACAAGAGGGGGCTCGACCTACAGCATGTTCCAGTGGTGGAACGGCTAGCAGTTACTTAGCTGAGGGAGCAACGCCCCCAGTCCTGAACAAGAGGGGGCTCGACCTACAGCACGATCGATTGAAATCAGAAGGGTAAGCATACTGCAAGCTAGCCAGAAAACTCAGCGCATCAGAGAGGCGGAGAAAGGGCCTAGTTCGTCTGATGCTGCTGGTTCCAGGTGCTCTGGGAAAACAGAGAACTCAACTCTCACGTGAGAGGAGAACTCCGAATTCAGGAGTAGCGTGCTCATAGGCAACCCTTTGATAAAGGGGAGCACTGCTAAACACTACCACGGAGCGAGGAATCCAACTCCTCAGAAGGGAGAGAATTCAAAAGCTCAAAAGAAAGCATCATGCTCACAATAACCCTCAATGGTGAGGGGAGCGATGCTTCCAGAGTGTATAAAGGAAACGAGGCAAATAACGTGTAACCCTTACCATACAGGATTTCAGAAAAGTGGGCAAAGCATAATGATCTTAAACTTATATATATATATATATATATATATATATATATATATTAGAAATAGACCGTACTCACCCACCATGGTTCCCGCGCCGGAGCCCCGTTCAGGAAGCGACCGAAGAAGACACTCTAGACCGGACCATCAGTAAGGTGGTCACTATGAAGCCATAGAACCAACCAAACATCATAGGTCCAGTATAGGAGACTGTAATGCAGGAAGTTCCCACCTAACCTTGGTCAGGTGGAGAGATGGTGGTTACAGGGGAATTAGGAAGGGGAAGATAAGGGCAGATGTAAAACCCCTGAGGGAAATGAGTAGATGCTGAGGTATCACTCTTATCCAGATGAAAGTGCTGACGCCTTGTCTGGATCACATCCCTTAGGTCCTGCCTACCTCCCTTTGACCCGCGATTCTTCCTACCCCTACCCGCAGACGGGGGAGGAGCGCGAGCCGTGACACTAGCCTTCTGTGCTCATCTCTGATCTTCAAACCGAGACGGGCCAGGACCCCTAGGTTGTTCGGGCTCAGGAGAAAGGCCCTCACCTTTATCCAGGTCTTTCTGCAGGTCAGCCTGGTATGCCTGGACCTGCTGCTGCTGTGTATGCCCTGCCATTCAAACGAGGTGTAATCTGAAGAGGCTTAGATGGCCAAGAGGGAGTCTTAAGAGAGGACGTCTCACCCATAGAGAGATAGCTGGCCAGCATCTCTCTATAGGGGCATCTTCTCATAGCCGTTTTCGCACATCGCCTCGATGTTGGCATAACTCGTATGCTGGAATCGATGGATGCGTGAGGAAAAAACGGCCTCTTCCATTCCTTCTCGATCTCTGTATGGAAAACAGGAAGAAAGGAAGGCTCACCTGAGCTGGAGGGTTATGGCCAGAAAGATAACGTTCATCGAGATGTCCTCGCGAGTGCAAGTGGAATACGGCGCGATCCATAACTTTCAAAAGCTCATCATACGCAGGGCAGGAGGATTGGGAAGACTCAGCCTCAGCTTCTTTGCCCTCCTCAGACATCTCCTGCTCTCCCTGGACTGAACCCAGCAGAGCACTGGCCCCTGGATCAGACAATGTTAAAGAAATAACATCATCCTCCAGCGGCTCACTCTCGTCCACAGCCGACGAGCGCGAGAGGGAAACCCCTCTTTAAACTCATCGGCCAGGTCCACCTGCGATCCCCACGAGCTTGTTCTCCTCCTTTTTCCCTGGAAAACGCTCGCAGAGCACGCAGATTACCCCTCGAGGACATCGCGTGCGTGCTCTTCGCCCCAAACAAACAACGCATAGATCGTGTGTCATCAGATGTTAAACAACGACAACACGAATGCACACATCCTCTAAACGCTTTGCTAGTGCTCGCCATAATGAGATGAATAGATCGCTCTTACCACAGAAATGCACGCTTCAAACAAAACAGTCAATGAAGACGAAGAAGAGGATGATGTGTAGCTCCCGGCGTCTATTTATACTATAGTCGCACCGGTAGTGACGTCATGGCTGTCGCAGGCCAACGAGTTGATGGTGTTTTTTCAATGTATGCTTCAGACACGGGTCACGACGAGGCGCTCCCCATAGCGACCCCTAGAGGACGCAGTTCAAAGTCCTCATAAAAGGGAACTTACATGACTGTTATGCAACACTGGCACAATCACAGTCTGAGCCTTACTCAGAAGAACCGGACGAATTAGAGACTGACAGAGAGAGAGAGAGAGAGAGAGAGAAAGAGAGAGAGAGAGTCATCTACACTATATACTCAGAGGATGACATGGCAGTCAAACTAGCTGCAAAATATGTACACTGCAAAAAAATTATTTTCTTAGTATTTTTGTCTTATTTTCTAGTATAAATATCTAAACATTCTTAAATCCCGATGCATTTACTTGAGAAGTAAAATGGTTTAAGATATTAAGATTTAAGATATTCTTTTCTAAAAAAAAAAAAATCTTAATTCAAAGGCTAAACAAGATGATTTTTTTTGCTCCATTGGCAGATATTTTTTCTTGTTTTAAGAAAAAACTAACAAAATTTGATTTGTGTTTTTAGAAAACAAAACGGTTACACTTTACTTGAAGGGGTGTGCATAAGACTGACATGACACCTTCATAATCATGACATGACACATGTCATGAATATGAAGGTTTTTTTATGCATATTTATGACAACTGTCATTAAGTGTCATTCGCTCAGTTATGTAATTTATTATGCAAAGATGACATTGTTTGAGATGTCTTTGTTATGGGCTATGGTTAGGGGTAAGGGTAGGGGTAGGGTTAGGTCAAATAATGTCATATTTGCATTAAAAATGACATAACTGAGCGAATGACACTTAATGACAGTTGTCATAAATATGCATAAAAAAACCTTCATATTCATGACATGTGTCATGTCATGATTATGAAGGTGTCATGTCAGTCTTATGCACACCCCTTCAAGTAAAGTGTTACCAACAAAACATAATATCTTACGTCATTTTACTTGTACAATGAATTCATCTTGACTCAAGAATATTTAGATATTTATACTAGAAAACAAGACAAAAATACTAAGATAATTTTTTTTTCATTGTATACACCATGCACACCATATGAAATGGTTAATTCGTTATATTTATTTGCTTTATTTTACATTATTACTCATTTATTGTCTCCTTTATAACTTTGGTGGTGTAATTATATCTGTATTATATTCATGACATGTGTCATGTCATGATTATGTAGGTGTCATGTCAGTCTTATGCACACCCCTTCAAGTAAAGTGTTACCAACAAAACATAATATCTTACGTCATTTTACTTGTACAATGAATTCATCTTGACTCAAGAATATTTAGATATTTATACTAGAAAACAAGACAAAAATACTAAGATAATTTTTTTTTCATTGTATACACCATGCACACCATATGAAATGGTTAATTCGTTATATTTATTTGCTTTATTTTACATATTCTTCATTGTATATAATTGTAATTATTATAATTAATATTAGAAATACTATCTGCTGTTGTTATTCTTATTTGATTGTATTTATTTATTTATTTTCTCTCATTTATTACTCATTTATTGTCTCCTTTATAACTTTGGTGGTGTAATTATATCTGTATTGTACACATCTAAAATGCTTTGGCAATACTGTAACACAAAAGTAACATTTTTAAGGTTTCCGTCGGGCTCGGCGGGTCTCCATGGAGACGGTGCGGGATCCAGAACCCACTCCAACCGAGCCGATGATGAGCAGAAGCCCACAGGCGCCAGATTTCAGTAGAAGCAACACATATGTCGGGAAGAGAAAAGCTCGTAAATGTTTTACTGAAGCCACGATCTTCATCACTGTTGCTCCTCCGCGAGGAAGACGATGGTGACGATGAGGAGGGTTCTTAGATTACCGAAGGCTCGTCGCTCAGCCCTTATGTAAGCCATCATTCAGTTACAATGCTCCTCAGAAACACGGAGAAACTGCGATTACAGTGATGAAGGAGTAAATACGACACGTACCTGACAGCGCGTTCATTCACTCACTCGTTCTTCATCCTCTCCAGATCTTTCAGTCTTCAGTGATGAAGAAGAAGACGCTGATTTCACCTTCCAGCCCGCAGCTCACGGAGAGAAACCCAGAGAGCCATCATCTTCATCATCCTCCCATCCTGACATGATCTCTAATGAGCCAGAGACCGACTGAGAGAGAGAGAGAGAGAGAGAGAGAGAAGGATGAGAGAGGGGAGGGGAGGGGGGGAGGGTCCGGCGTCACAGGTTCGAATCTTTCTGATGCAGTTCAGTGTTCATTCAGCTCCGCGGGATTATTCGCACTGTTATCGACTTTATAGCCTAAACCATGCAGAAGGGTAAAAAAAAACAATATGCCGATTTTTTCACACTTGGATCAAATTTTACTAATTAGTCACCTGCACAATTTTTATGCACAAAAAACTATTAAACAGGCGACATCTAAACTGAATTTTAGAACGAATGAAAATAATCGAGCTGAAACTAAATTAGGAACAGTTCGCTTGCGACAACAAACCAGTACAACCCAAATATAAAATTTAGATGATAGATAGATAGATAGATAGATAGATAGATAGATAGATAGATAGTGAATTTAGAATGATTTTTCAATTATTTTAAAAATGTAATTAACCTGATCTCATGAATGTGCTATTTGGCATACTATTTATACGCAAAAATGGACTTGGGCGTGCATATGATATACAATTCGTAGATTTGGCGGTGTGGGGGGGATGCGTATTGTACGCCAAAATGCGTATTTATATGCACGCCAACAAAGTACGTATCATATGCACGCAAAAACTCCTTATTATACGCACATCAAACACATGCGTATCGAATGCACGCCATAGTGTAATTAGATGATAGATAGATAGATAGATAGATAGATAGATAGATAGATAGATAGATAGATAGATAGATAGATAGATAGATAGATAGATAGTGAATTTAGAATGATTTTTCAATTATTTTAAAAATGTAATTAACCTGATCTCATGAATGTGCTATTTGGCATACTATTTATACGCAAAAATGGACTTGGGCGTGCATATGATATACAATTCGTAGATTTGGCGGTGTGGGGGGGATGCGTATTGTACGCCAAAATGCGTATTTATATGCACGCCAACAAAGTACGTATCATATGCACGCAAAAACTCCTTATTATACGCACATCAAACACATGCGTATCGAATGCACGCCATAGTGTAATTCTTTATTCTCTTTAATTCTCTTCTAAATTTACTAGCAATTTCTGAGAGAAGCTGTTTCAAAGTGCGTATCATATATATATATATAATACATAGTTCCTGTAAATCTACAACTCTTGTTTACACTTTTCCTGCCTGTATTAAATATTCTCTAGGAATCGTTTTTTATTTTAGTTTATACATTTATTTAATTATTTATATATTTGTTTATAAAAGTGTTGTTTTCCTGACATGCTGCTCAATATGCCTTTAAATTGGTCTCAGTTTTTTTGTTTGTCTGTTTGTTTGGATCGTCTTGTGTTCGGTTTCATGCACCACAGATCAACTGAGAAATAACATGCACTTACACAGGGTGGTCAGTAACGATCAGCTGACACAGAAAGATGATTAAATAATTGGCCGTTCCGAGCAGCATGTTTTATATGAGGACGTTTGGGTTCCCACAGGAAGTCAGAAGCACCCTGGAGCAGAAGCAGCAGCTGCGCAGGTTCCTCTGTGGGGACAGACTCCAGATTGAAGTCCCTTCGGTCCGAGCGCATAATGACTGCAGATCAACGCAGTGACAGGCACAGCTGCTCCGACGGCCCCAGAGCTGGAGGCCCTTCACACGCTAACAGACAGCCACTGTTTGAGTGTATCAGAGCAGATCAAAGGCAGCACACACACACACTCACACTCAGTGTTAAAGCAGCGGTACGTGTTGGGTGTGATTATCACACTGATGTATACATGACCCTCCAGACCTCACTGCATATTCAGCACTAATTAACTTCATTCGGGTGGAATTGCTGTCATCATGTCCAACAACTTCACTGAAAAATCAGTTTGTTTTCAGAACTGATGATCTCAGGCTGGGAACATTATGAATCTTTGGCTTCCGCACCTTCATTATTTACTGTCATTTTGATTGATCTGTCATGAAAATCTGCATTTCTGCAAGCTATAAAATCTTCTCAAGCAGACCGAGAGTCATTTACAACACTGAATACTGAAGGCTTCAGCTGAAAACCTCTGAAATCTCTGAAAGTTTTTGAGTTTTCTTTCCAGTTTGCTGTTAAAACAGCAAATACAAATGCAGAAGACTGTCATTATGCCAAAATAAACTATGTTATCACATGACTACCCACCAATTAAATAACTACCTGTACAGACATGTCTGGTTCACTATCCTTGTAGGGACTCTCCATAGGTGTAATGGTTTTTATACTGTAGTGTTTTATATTGCAATACAAAAAAACTTTAATGTTTGGTGGGATTAATATTAATAATTAATTTCAGAAAATAATGTGCAATTAATTCGTTTTTTTTAATCAACTGACAGCACAGTATTACACACACACACACACGCACACACACAGAGTCTGGTTAAATATCCTTGTAGCGACTCTCAATAGGCATAATGGTTTTTATACTGTACAAACTGTATTTTCTATCGCTCTACACCTAAACCTACCCCTCACAGAAAACTAGATTCTCAAAACACTTCATTCTGTATGATTTATAAGCTTGTTTCCTCATGAGGACCAAAATATGGACATTTGGTCCTCATGACATAGTGAATACCAGCACACACAGACACAGACACACACACACACACACACACACACACACACACACACACACACACACACACACACACAGACACAGACAACATTACTGTCACTTAAAGCAGTCAAACGAATAATAATAATAATGATGATGATGATGAGGATGATACGGGAAAGATGACACATCAAGAATCACTGAGCTTCAACAGCTCGTCCTTTTACAGCAGACTGAGATCATTAACTAGCCAAATCTGATTTTCAAGCTCAATAAACAATGCTAAAATTCAGCATGAGTGGCATGAAAATCTGAATTTGTCTGAGTCTTCAGTGTCATTCTAATATGCTGATCTGCTGCTCGAGAAACATTTCTGATTATTATCAATGTTGAAAACAGTCGTGCTGCACAATATTTTTGTGGAAACTGATGCATTTTATTTTTCAGGATTCACAGATGAATAGAAAGTTCAGAAGAACAGCATTTATTGGAAATAGAAATCTTTTGTAACATTATAAATGTCTTTACTGCCACTTTTGATCAATTTAATGCAGCATTGATGAATAAAAGCATTAATTTCTATAAAGAATATCTTACTGAATACACATTTTTCAGCGGTAGTGTATCACCGCTTTAAAACACAGTGAAGCAAACATTTTCCAAAGTGCACAGACACAGGAACGGAAATGCTTTGTTTCTGTCTGTGACGGCCGCTTGTAGTCTGGCCCGTCTGTGGCCTCTGGATAATTACAGCATTAATTGATGTTCTCCAGGGGCCCGGGGTCACGTTTGCCTGTATCAGGGTCTCTGAGGCCTTTCGCCACAGCAACACAACACATTAATTACAGGAAGATTCCCGCTGGAGTAACCGGAGGTTAAACGCCACTTAAGTGCACATTACTGAGAGTAACTCACTAACTAACTGTTAATGTGTCACTGCAAACTCCAGGAGCAGATCAGACTGTTACCCAGACATTCCTCCGCTAAACAACATCAACACATCAGTCTTCTGGATTTGTGCTACTGCACTGCTAAAAGTCCACAAATAAACTTATAACAGTCATATGTATTTCTTCCAGGAAATCCAGCCAAAAATACTGATGACCCATGATGTACTGAGAGGCGGAGCCAAATAATCACCCAATCAAATGCTTCAGATTAAGAACATCCCTCTCTTGAAACCACACTAGCAAATCACAGCTGTGATGTAAACTAAAGACTATTCATTATATAAAAAGACCTCTACAGACTTGCCAACACAGTAAAGCACAGAGGGTTAGATCTACATAATACATAAACCACAAATATGCCTTTCTATTATACCAGATGTTTCACCAATGACTGGTTTTTGGAGAGTCCTAATACTGTTAAGGGCAAAATGCTTGTATTTTCTCATTCACAGCTCCAGTGACTGGCTTGAAAAAGAAGAAGAAGAAAAAAAACAACGTTTCTAGAACTGAAGGGCCATGAGCAGCGGATGAGTGAATGCTGATTGTGTATTTCCAGTGCAGAAGATGAATGTGAAAAGGTGACAGAATAGAGCTGCTTCACATGAATTGACCAGCTCCATTAATGCTCTTCTGCCATCTACTGGTGACACACAGTAACACACACACACACACACACACACACACACACACACACACACACACACACACACACACACACACACTGAT